AACGTTTGTTTTCCTTTCCTGCTTTGTTCATTTACCTCGTGGTATATACACATCCACCCAAAGTCTATAACATCAACATGCAGATCATTTAAACTGCCAGTTCAACTAAGCAGACTCATCAAATCAATGAAGCCAAAGCAAACAGAAGTCAACTGACTTAAAGTAAAGAAAAAGGGTTGCCAGTAGGGAAAATAGTGGCCAGTGTGAATGCCATATCTATGAAAATTTAGAGAAAAAATTGATTCAACTGAATAATAAGGAAAAAACAAACAGACTGACACCATAAAGTCACAAGTAAATGAATTGTTGTTGCTTCCCCCCCCATCTTTGGTGCCATTTTTCCTTTTCCAGATACACAGGTATACAAAGGCCATACTACATAGGGTACAAAATGTTTTGTTTATGCCTCTTTTTAAAAAATGATTTCTGGCTTTGCTAGTAACAAATTAACATGTTCCTGAGGGCCACAGACAAAGAAAGTATATATCTTATAGAGTAGTGTAGGAGGACATAAAGATTTAAAGATTTTTGTTGTGTAGGTGTTGCAGGTACACTTTCACATTCCTAAGATTCCTCATACTGAAAACTGATACCTGGCGGTGTCTCTCAAAGACACGTCAGTGCTTTCATTTTATATGTAGGACACTCAGTTGCATGCTCATCCGTACGCAGGAATGAGATAAAATGTTCTCACCGTACTGTGAAAAACAAAGTACATCGCATGATTCAGTAGCTTGAAAAACCACATTTAGCATCAAGAACCTAAAGTAATTGTTTTCTGTAGGATTGTGTCATTCTGTCAATTTGTTGTGGAGGAATTTTGTCCCACTTTTCTTTACAAGAATCTTCCAAATCAAATTTGGAGAGCTACCTGCTCCAGTGACCCAACATGAGAGCCGTGTGCTTGGGATCATTGTCCTCTTGCATGACCTAGTTTAGGCCAAGCTTACTGTTAGTCTTACATTTGATTCTCGAACAAGTTGTTATATAGAGGAGGTCAGGGTGGGCTCAATAACTCTAAGGTCCTGTGGCTGCAAAAAAACAAAACAAAAAAAGCCTAAATCATCACCCCTCCACCACTTTGGCTGACAGTTGGTATGAGGTGTTTGTGCTGATATGCTATGTTTGGTTTTTCCCAGATGTGGTGCTGGGAATTATGGTCAAACATCTTCACTTTGGTCTTGTCTCACCAAAGGAGATTCTTCCAGAAGTCTTGTGGTTTGTTCAGATGCAACTTTGCAAACCTAAGCTGTGCTTACAAGTTATTTTTTAAGAGGAAAAGAGCCTTTCTCTTGGCCACTGTTACAAACAAGCATTAGTTGTTTAGGAGTTTTGTTTCTTTTCTTTTTTTTTTTTTTACAAAAAAGTGATTGCACAAAGTACTGTGACATCACTGACAATTTATCAGATATTAGTACTTCCTGGATTGATAATTAAAACAAACAAACCAAAGCTATTTCTATATAAAACAGCCTTTTTACAATTAATCACTTCCCTTGATCTTCTCAGGACTTTCACTTAATTATACTCCTTTCTAAACACACAGGAAACTTAAACCTACATGCAATCAAAATCTCCAATCCTATTAAGCATTATATGGTTAGACATAAGACGTGTATGGCGTGTGTGCATGTGCGTTCAGCCTGCTTCATCTGTCATTAGTTATATTTTTTACAGCTGCTTTGCGGATTCACTGTGTCGGCCCACAAGTGACTTTCCATTCTGTCAGGCAGGGATGGTGAAGTCATAGGACTCTGCCAGAGACAGTGCAGTTAGAGTGTTGAGCATCGACTTGGCTCTGAAGACAGTAAGTGGTACCTTTTCAATAGTCCTCGCAGGCTCCTATAGCAGATGTTTCCAATAAGGGTGCCTGTTTTACCACTTTGCTTAGACTGTAATGTGAATACATAAATGCAGTAAACATCTCTTTGACTGAGCCGTCCACCAAGGGCATGAGAGCTTATTGAGCACTCACCAAAGTTTAGAGTAAAATGATGTCATTGCATAGAGAAAATACAGCAACAGACAATAGTGATGACAATGGAAGTTTCTTTTGTTCATTTTGTGGTATAACTTAGCAGCCCAAAAGATTATTTTAATGCAAATGTCAAAGAAAATGACTAAATACAGGCAATGGAAGACATTACAAAAGCTTAAAAAAACCCATGAATATACAACAATATTCCAATCACAGTTTCCTGCCATGCATGTAGGATTAAAGCTTGTGTATCATTAATCACGCTCATCGTAGTTCTTGCTTGTCAGTTGTTGACAATTAAGAGTAGATTTCCCAAAAATCTGTGGAGGTGGTCCTGCGAGTTGTGGCTGGTGAAGCCAGAGGGCTAGCAGTGTGAGTGTTGAACTCATGCTGATGGAGCAGTTCAGGGCTCTTCTAGCCACGTGGCAAAGGAATGCCAGCTCACTGAGTGAGGCTGGATGTTTGCTGTGAAGGCCTCAGAGGTCTATGAGATTTACTGACAGGACAGGAGCTTTTTGAAGCACACACAATGGTATACCTCTTTTCAATTGGTTTGATAATGTTCCCTTTCCCAGCCGGTTTCTAAAGTGTAAAACAACACCGACAGGAGCAGCAAAACAGGATGCAAACACAGGGCCAAACAGGATCTTTTGCAAATGAATATGTTAATTTTAGCCTGGGGACACTGTTGTTGCTGTGGTAGCAACATTCAAAATCTCACCACATTCAATGGTTGTTGAATGTGAGTAAATTTCATTGGTTGCATGTTGTTGTTTTTTATTTATTCTTTTAATTTTGTTTCTGACTTAAGCTCCCTACGACAGTCGCGCTCAAGTAGGCACGTGGGCCCGTGGATTGGATAGTAAGATTTTGTGATTCTTTAGCTCTGGCAAAGTCTTGCACTTGTAGACTGACCTCTTTTCAAACCATGCCTATGTCCCTCCATTAGACATTAAAATACCAAAGGCAGACTTCGCCCAAAACTCACGGAAGCTGTGGTCTCCACCCAAGTTAGCCCACACATGCTTAATGCAGACATTTTTCACATTTCGCTTTGATGTTGAACCCCTGGCACAGACTTTTGTGGCGTGGTTTTCAAAATGCTTGATGGTTGTTTGGAAGAAAGAGAGAAGTGAAGGTTTTTTTTGTTCTGTCAGTTCAGCTCTGCGATGACACGAGCATGTGTTATTAACAATCGCTTTCACACGCAGGCGCATAATGAATACAAATATCTGAGTACAAGGTGGGCTATAAAGCGTGCATACCTAATCACATCTATCAGCCTATGTTAGTCTAACGTTTCCTTACAGTGAATTTCAAGGACCTCTTTCTTCCTTCCAAAAACACTGTCTGGTTTTTTAGTGGAGCGAAAAATACCGCAAGATAAATAAAGTGATATGCAAAAGTCTTGAGCCGCCCTCATTTCTCTATAATTTGTTTCCAAGGAACCAGACTTTGTTTTATTATTTTTTAAGCAGCTTTGAACAATAGTTCTCCAGGCTTTCATAGTTTTCGAGGAAACTGGAAAAATGGAGGATAAAAGAAGAAGTGACAGGCCTAAAAACTATCCACAGCAGATGAACTGTATTTGAAAGTCATGCCCTAAAGAAATAGGGAAAAAGTCTGATCAGATGGGAGGTCAGGCAAGAGGTCCAACAGTGAGTGTTCACAGCCATCTGTATCACCTGATGGATGCTCTGTCATGTTTGTGGCTGGATTTCAGCCAGTGGTGATGGGAATCTTGTCAAAATTGATGGAATTACGAACACACCATCAGATGTTGATCCACCATGCAGTAACATTGGGAAAGTAACTGATTGGCAAAGGTGGATCCCAAAAACAGTGCCAATACAGTAAAGGCAAACCCAAATAGAAAAACACACAATGGAACACTATCAGTCATGGATTGGCCTCCCCACAACCTGGACCCCAACATTACTGAAGCAGTGTGGGATCATCAGACAGAACAAATATATAATGCCAAATCGCAACAACAGTTGGCTCAAGGTGCTTCATAATGTAAGGTTTAGACCCTACAACACTGCAGAGATGCCCCCAACAACCATGAGTAACAAGGAAGAAGACTCTGGCAGAACCAGTCTTAGGGAACGGCAGCCATCTAAAGATAGTCACACCAAATAATCCAGATTGTTACAATTCTTTAAACTCCGTTTCGCACCTGATATGCTACATTTATGTTGACATGTTTTAACAAATCGCTGCACCTTCACTTTATTGTGTTATTATTTTAGGGAATGGAGCCCATGATGGGCTTCATTGGTGTTTGATATATAAATGCTAGTTACTCAATTTAAAACTGGCTATGATGGAAATGTTTTCTTTTTTCTTGTATCAAAATGAATCCCAGTCAAAAACATGCTACAGTTTTAGTTGCATGTTACATTATTTTCATGCCGATGTTCTTGTGTAAAATTGAAACTTTTCTTTATTGCAAAGCTGTCAAACACACTTGAAGCTGCTGAAAAGTTTGACTCTTTGTTGTACCAGGACGTACTACACAAAACCACAGAGACCTCAATTTACAGGCTCCCATGGTTATGCCTCTATAAAGCACGAGTAGTAAATATGCTCCAACAGCTGCCCGATGTTGACAGACTGGCTCATTCTACTTCTGTGCTCGGTTTTCTCTCTAGTGTTTGTCTCAAATCCTCCTGTGTGCTTGAAATTTTATCTTGTTGATGTGGGTGTAAGCTTACTGTGTTTCAAAATGCCTGTTGACTTAGTGTGGAGTGGCACTGACTGTCCTGTAATTTAAAGCAATTCGTTATGGTAAGCCGGAGTCATGCAGTAGATAGAATCCAGCTGTGTTGTCAACCTACCTTAAAATACTTCAGCGTTTTAGTTTACAAACCCTTAAAAGAGCTCGATGTAACATAAGGAAAATGCTTAGTTTAGTCATTCTAATAACAGAATAGGGAAAAACGTCATTTGCCTAAAGCAACCTATGAGATACTCTTTGCCATAAGATGACGTCAGGCTCTTATGTGTCTTGCCTCCTCAGACGGGGCATGATGGTGCGGGCCAAGCTGAGGGTGTAGCCACATCTGGCAGAGACCGCTGAACTAAGCAGGCGCCTCCGTACACCAGACCATCTACTGCAGCTGGGAAGATGGGAGAGACAGAGGAGGAGAGGGACAATGTAGGGAAGCTGTTTGAGAACTTCATCCAGGCCTCGACCTGCAAAGGAGCCCTTCAGGCCTTTAACGTCCTCTGCAGATGCCAGAACCTCGACCCCGCAGAGCACAGCACCTTCTACAACAGTCTGAAGGCAAAGGTTACTTCCTGGAAAGCAAAAGCGCTTTGGAGTAAGCTCGACAAGAGGATGTCCCATAAGGAGTACAGAAAAGGCCAAGCCTGTGCGGGCACTAAGGTTGGTTTGATTACATCTTTGTGCATCTACTGTACATACTGCAAAAAAGTCATATGAGGTGTTGACATGATATATTCTGTTTATATTTATCAACTGCTCTCCACAGCCCCATAAATTCTTTGATTATTTCCTGGAGTGACCTGATGGCTGAGCGATTAGTGTTCATAACATTCCCAGAGGGCCCCGCCTATGCTGCAGTTCATTCCCCTGGTCTTTTCCCCCAAATTTCCTGTTCTTGTCTCTATCACATCTATTTAAAACCAGAAAAATCAGTTAAAAACAATGTATTCTCTAGCTTCAGAAGGACAAGAGGCGTTTCTAATCTGGTTTAGGACAGTTCTGTTGATGTGTTGTTTCTGCGGCCATGTTGCTATTTTTAAAAAGTCTCCTTGTTAGTGGTTTCGAGGATCCTTTACCCCAGACTGCAGAGTCTACTGCATGACAGCAGCTGTTTTGTTGGGGTTTTTTATAGAAGAAACAACGATAGACGTCATCTTTTTCACACCGTTTTTCATTTGCTTGACAAAACCTTTCAGCAGCCAGCTCTCATATTTTGACTCTAAGCTTCACTTTTGAGTTTAGTAGCTGAAGTAAAGCTAGTTAAAAGTTAAAAGTGGTTAAAAACAGTAAAGCTGGGAAAATGTTTAGTCTGATGGGGTTTCTATCTCAAGCATGTATCTTTCAGTTTATTCTCGGTATGCGCAGAAAGCTAACAATGTGTTGATTGGCCTGAAAGTCTAAAAATGATCACAAAGCTCGGTTCATGCATCATTAAAGTTGATGTTTTATGATTTAGGAAGTATCTTTATGGTTTCGTCTCACATGACTCCTTTTTAATTGTACCTCAGTTCAGGGGCAGTCTCACTGAGACCCTGCTAAAGTGCTCTACAGAGTGCCATAGCTCAAGTAGTCTTTATTTTAACCTCTACTTGCCCAGACAGTTACTCTTTCACTCCTTTAACAGCTCTCAACAGACGGGGCAGGAAATGTTTTCTGCTGCAGACAGGTGTTATATGACAAAACTGGAATAAATACATCCTGAAATTTTCACAAAGACAGATCAGCCAGCAGAAAAAAATATAAATTGCATGCATTTGCATTTTATTACTATTAAAGACAAGGGGGAAACCAAGAAGACAGCTGTGTGTTGCTTTTTTTTTTTGACTGTCGTGTAAAGATTCAGTCTTATTCAGACAGCAGATTAAATGTGCAATAAGAGCGCTATTCAGGGGGTAGTCTTGAAGTGCATGATGAAAAACAACTTGCAAAAGGGACAAAAGAGCCATAAAAAAGGGTGTGTGTACAGTATCCTGTGTATGCGGGCATGGGGGCAGTAAAGGTGATGACGGAAAGTAGAAAAACCCAGAGGAGTGTGATTACCTTGCAGCCATCAGCAGCGCTCAGATTGAGAGAGCTTTTTTTTTTATTGCCCAGAGAAGCAGACAGCATCAGTCAGCAACTGTGATTATTTGGCCCCAGCGTTACTAAAATTGGGCTCGTCTCAAAGGGTTGGAGCCAGGCCCGCGTTATTATTGAAAATGTGTTTTTAAAATGTGAGCCCGGTTTTACTCGTTCTGCCTGATTTAAGCCGGCGCCCAAACAGGTAATCAGAAGGAAAAAATATTTTTTGAAGAAAGTGTGACCCTTAAACTTCTGAGCCAAAGCTGTTAATTCTGACAGTCCACAGAGTTGTGTTATAAAATGTAGACGCTTAGCCAGTGAGTGGTGCGTAGTGAATTTGTGATTGTGCAAATGCCAGAGATTTAATGAGCCAGGTACACTTGCACAATGTTTTAATTACTCACGGCCAGGCGGTCTGCCGTTACGTGATTAAAAGCGTCTCCTCTGAGAACCGCGAGGTAACGAGTCATTTTTATGACAGCGCAGCTCTTTAACACTGACAGATGTGATATCACTCAGCACCTCTTCATCTTCTTATTGCTGCTGTAGCAGTAACTTTTTTTAAAAGGATGTAATGTCATCTGGGTTTTATTACCGGACACAGCTGGCTGAGGTGACATGTGGCTGTAGCTTGTGTCTTTTTCGTGAAGTTTTACTGCCTACAACAGAATGAATCTTTTCATAATAAAGACGAGTGATGTCAAAGTCATTTTACATCGTGGGCTGCATACGTCTCACTGTGATCTTAAGTGGGCCAGATCAGCAAAACTCCGTTTTCTGTCATTGTCAAGAAATTTAAGTACACATTTAATCCTTGTGATATCTCAATATAAGAAAAAGAAGTGCAGTTTCAACTTTATGACTCAGTTTATCTACATGCTAAAGAAATCCAGCTGTGGTAAATGAAATATGTCAGCCTGACTTAAAGGGTAAGAAGTTCTGGTAGCTCATCGTATTTTAAACTGTGGAATCAATGTAGCTGTAGACCAAAGCAATTGTTTATCTGTTACTTAACTACTTTGGTGCAGTATGAATGGCTGTGCAGGAGGTTGTTATCAGCAGGAAAAGCTGTACAACTTATGAAAATACTGTTAAAAGTCCAAAATTCATGCCCTTCTTCACATTTTCCAATGCTGTCCAGTGGGCCAGATTGTAGTCTTCGGCAGGCCAATTCGGGCCCCCGGGCCTCAAGTTTGACACCCTAATATAGACAAAGACATTTTCAGTGCACCTCACAGATCTCTTTTTTATAATTACACCTGATTTAAACACATATAGGAGTTTTTCCTGTAGCTTCTCTTCAGTTCCAGTTTTACGTTCCAAACTGCATTGTGCGTATACATGAGCCTGCATGACTCTGCCAGCGCATTAGCATCACCTGCACATCAGAGAAATCACCTGGAAACCTTTACATGTTTCTTTTACATGAGTTTTGCATTGTCTGTGAGCGCACGCAGGAAAATAAACAAAACCAGAGTCACTGCCTCCCTTTTGTATGTCTGCTTCAAACAGTCAAATTGCACTTTATAATCATCTCCCTTTATGCTTCCTTGTTTTATGTTATTACCTGTATGCATTAGTGTGGTATTTTGTCATGAGCATGGGAATTATTGCACTTTGAGAGGTCAAATTGACCATAAATTTTGACCAACAAAATCAAATTAGTTAATGCTCGAGTCTAAGTAAATGTTTGTGCCACATTTAAAACAAACAAACAAAAACCTTCAATCTTGTTTGTGAGAAATCATGCTCCCAATAAGGGATGGTCAGATGGACAACAGCAATACAAAATTCCTCTGTGACTGTGACACTAAAAAGTCACAAAATCTAAAATGCTGCTAGAGGTCCAAAACTCCAACGCGTGCCTGTATTATCTTCAGGTGACTGTCGTTAATCTGCTTTTCCCCTAATAAAAGGAGCAACTGTAAATCTTTTGGCATGTTGTGGTCAGACCAAACAGCCTTAGCAGTAAGAGCGGTAATGCAGCGTAACGGTTCAGGGTTTGTTTGTGTGGGTTTACCTTAAGAGATCATTCATTTCAATATGCAAAAATTGTGTGGCTGGTTTTAACCCTATAAAAACTAAACTATGAGATAATTGCCAAAAAATTATGTTTTTTTCCCGTTTTAACTGACAAATAAAAAAAATCAGTTTTATTTTAGAGTTTTCGTTTCTATAATTTTTTATATATTTGGCTTTTTTTTTTTTTTTTTGCAACTTATAGCTCAAGAATTATTAGTTAAAATGTATTGTGCAATTTTCAAGGGTTTGGGGAAAAGAACTTGCACTGATGATGCAGATGTCTCAAAATGCTGGTGGCTCCGTAGTGTAGTGGGTTACAGATTTGCCTAAGGAGTGAAAGATCCCCAGGAGGAGACACAGATCCCTTTGGGGTTGCATTAAAAAGAAAAAAAAATCTGTCAAGTCAAACATTTGTCACTATCTGTTGTGGTGAGCCACTGTGAGTGATGGAGCAGCTGGAAGTTGCTTTATCTTAGAAATGTAAATGTTTGCTCTGTTTCCTTAACCTCCTGAGTCCTGTATCCTCATATATCAAGATTAGCCTTTTTGGCACCTCATCTTTTGTACTGCTCAATAAAGTGTTTGAGGCTTTGTAAACAATAGTGACTTTATTGTGTTATGCTGTAAAATAAGCCTATTGTCCCCATATGAGGACATAATACTTTGTGTATAAAATAAATTCTTAGTTTTTACTTATCAGTTCCAAACAATCGCAGATAGAAATGAAAAAAATACCAAATGAGAGGTCAAGTCTCTGGAGGTTAAATATGATGATGACGTGAATTGAGTTTTGCAAAATGCACAAAATGAAAACACTAACTTTTGCTCTGTGATTGCTATTTTCTACTGTTTTGATCCTATAAAAATGAGTTGACAATATAATGTGAAGATGAATAAATAACCTCCTGATTCTCTCCCGATGACAGAGCAGAGGCCTCTTGGCTATGCTGTGCGTTCACACCAAACTGTGAGTTTATCACCAGACCAACTGGGCTCGGTGATAAGGCAGGAGACAGATGTCAGGGCTGGGATGAGAATGAGGTCACAGGTGGGCAGCTGAAAGGAAGCGTTTGTCCTGACTCGGCAGATGTGGAGCTGGCCCTCAGGAAAAACCTCATATCTGGAAAAATATATGAGCGAATGGAAAAGTGGTCAAACAAAGGGGACATCTTTGCTAATTATTGCTGGAGAGATCAAAGCGGTGATGTGAGTTTAGGAAAATTGGACACACTGTGACGATACATCTGAACAAACCGATTTAGTGCTGCTCTGCTGCGACATCGTGTTTTTTTTTGTTTTTTTTTTAATTTTTAAATTTTTTTAGCATCCTCGATTTCGGTCTGGCTGTGAAAATAGCTGGTTCGCTTAACTTCCTCTTTGTTGAGGAAAACAAACCTTGCCAGTAGGCTTGTCCAGGCAATGCTTCCACCACCTGTTTGTGCTTCACACCTGAGAATACCTCATTTTTATAACCTCGGGCAACTCATGGTTCAACATTGTGTTCTTCATCACACCTGGTGCTCAGCTGCTCAATGCGAGAGACAGTGCTGAGTGATGAAAACCCAGCTGCTTGTTTTTGGTGCAGGGAAAGAAGTCGATTAGGTCATGATGTCGGATTGTCTCACAGAGCTGATACATATTAACCCTCCTCACTCTTTCTGGTTGTGTAGTTGTTGGAGACTCAGGATGGCAGGGAGTGAGCTGCTATAGATCTTTGTGTTGGATAAGTGGCAAACCTTCCAAGAAAAGTGAAAGAAAAGATATTTTCAGCATTTAAAATGTGGTGAGGCTATTGAGACAGGAGACAGTCCGCCTTGTTGCACCCAGCAGGAGTCGGAGCTTGCCTCTGGATTAAATCTCAAAAGAATTGAGACACATCTTCTCTCTGCACAGTTCTCTGTAAAGCCTCTTAATGTGCTCATAAGGAAAGGAGAGTTTGCCAGCACACATGCGTCACTTCTTTCATCTATCACTCAAGGAATGATGTCATGTTTGAACCGCACATTCTCAGACACACGCAGTAACCTCAGTGAACTGACTTCATGCATTTTTGGGAGAGGCTGGTGCGTGAATAACGAGATAGATATGCAAAGGTTGGTTTAGGTGGGTGGAAGTTGTTCGCAAATATCCATTTTTGGGAAGTTCCTGACAAATGCACCACTTTGGGCACCCGTAATCTGTCTCTCTCACGTTTAATGTGTTTTATTAACAATCCTCACGCACACCGGGTGGTCTGGGGAAGTTATCCCAAGACACAATAATTCTCTGAGTCAATGCCAGTCTTCCTTTAGGGTCTTTAAGTAAGACACTCAGCCTCTAAATGGTCCAGTGGTGCAGTGAAATGGTACTCTCTATCGTGATCTATGCAGATGTCATAATGCTTCTAGGCATGTTATAAACAAGTTGGCTGTGAACTATTTTTCATCTGGGACTCTGCAGGAAAACTCTCAGCCTTCTGCTATTAATATTGTACAAAGACTGAGATTTTTGCTTGGTTCCTTGTGTTGCTAATGAGGTCAATTTGTCATTCCCTCTTATTTAGTGCCTCATCATCGGAGGAGGTCCCTGCGGCCTGCGGACTGCCATTGAACTTGCCCTACTGGGTGCTAAAGTGGTGGTGATTGAAAAGAGGGACTCTTTTTCCAGGAACAACGTGCTCCATCTTTGGCCCTATACCATTCATGACCTGCGGGGACTGGGGGCCAAAAAGTTCTATGGAAAATTCTGTGCCGGAGCCATCGACCACATCAGTGAGTATCTGAAACTAAACCGGCCTTTGCTTTTCTTTGACCTGTTGTCACAAATTATTAACTCCAACCTTAAAGTGCTTTATGCTGCAAAAAATTTGACATTAAGGTGCTGTACATACATAATATTACCAAGAGTCTGGAGAAATTTCTGTGCACAAGGGTACTGGATGCCTGTGAAAACTAGTATGCCTGTGATCTTCAGGTCCTCAGGTGGCACTGCATTAGAAAACAGGCAGGATTCTGTCATGGAAATCACTGCATGGGTTCAGGAACACTTTCAGGAATCATGCAAAGAAGAAGCCGTGTGAACATGATCCAGACAGGCTTCTCTGAGCCAAAGCTCATTTAAGGACTAAAAAACTGATCTGTTGTCAGATGAATCAAAATTTAAAATTCTTTTTGGAAAACATGGAAATTGCATCATTTGGACTATAAAGTAGAGGAACCACCTGGGTTGTTACCTGAGCTCAGTTTAAAAGCCTGCATCTCTGATAAGTTTGGCAAAACAAATAAAAACAAAGTGACAAAAAAGACCTGTTGGGCTGTTGGACAGATAGAACCTTTTTAAATGTGTGTCGTTGAGGGCTCATCTTTTTTACCTTTTCTGTCCACTGGGCACTAAATGTTTTGATTCAGCTCATTCAGTTGTACTGAAAGCAGCAGTAAAAGTCTGTTCATATTCTAGAAAGATAAGCATAGAAACTGCAGTATTTGGAAAAAAAGGACAAAAAAAATAACCTTTTGTGCTTCAGGGTTTAGGTTTTTCAACTCAATTTAGTTCAGTTAAATAAATTTTTTATATATACGGATAATTAACTGAAAATTAGCTGCTGTACACGCACCTTTAGCTAATATATTTTACCTTACCGAATAAAAGCAGGTGCAGCAGATTTATGTAATAAAACTAATGTTGGGTAATTATATTAGTTTCTAGTTTCACTTGTCTCCATAAATCTTCCTCATAACTGCTTTGGTTCTTTGTTCATACCGAGGCTGCTAGCTCGTGGCTTGCTCTGAGCTTTCCCTTTGTTCTCTTTTTTTAAAATGTCCGTGTTCAGCCGGGTGAGGGTGATTCAAGAGTCTGTAAGAGTCTGTGGTCACCTCGCAGTTTACTTTGGGTGTTTTCCTCACCACTGCATGTGTGTTTTGCATGCATAAAAGGGACACGTGAGTCTGATTGGCCGGTGAGAAATCTGACAATAGTGGTCGCTGGTCAGTCAGTCGGTGCATCTTTAATTTTAATCATTTGTATAAAACTCATTTGTACTCATTGTGCAATCCATGATCTCAACGTTCCTTTTGTATAAAGCTTTCAAATTTTCAAACAAGGAGCTGTTTCCTCTCAAGATGGTATAAAAACTGGCAGGCTTACATCTGTGTCCAAACATTAATCTGAATCTGTCTTGCAGGCATTCAGCAGCTGCAGTTGATCCTGCTGAAGGTTGCCCTGATTGTTGCCGTGGAGTTTCACATCAATGTGGAGTTTGTCAACCTGTTGGAACCTCAGGAAAATGAAGGTCGGTTTCATGTCCAAACAACAGATTAACAGCGAGTTTGTCTTCACTCGCTGACAGTTTGTTTATTAGCCGCAAGATTTGGGGAGATTTAAAAGGCTGAAATTGTACAGCTTGGTGTTTTAATAAGGTGAAGTTGAGATTTTTAACAATGTGTTAAGCTCAATGAAGACGTTTCTTTAGAGATCTATACTGTGGAGCTTCCTGGAGGATTTGTAGTAATCCTCCTGCTCTGCAGCTTCGGCTCATATTCAAGGCTGGTTAGACAGCGAAAGACTTTTCATCCTGCAGTATTTAATTTCCTTGACAGCCACCGGTAAACACGAGATAAACATTGGCATTGAAGTACTTTGCTATCATATTTGGATGAGGTCAGCAACGGTTATTTTGCTCAAATGCATATCTGATACAGGAGGACTTCATGTATTAGAAAGCAGTGAGAATAAAAGTATCACTTTCCTTTTTTTTCCCAACTTAATGGCAGTAACTGAGCGCTGCTTCGTAAATGACTACTTGACCCTCACATCCTGCATTTCCCTATAAGCTCTGAAGAAGAAAATAGCGAACATGCTATTGTGCTGTTCCTCCAGCTGTAATATCAATGCAGTGATAACAAGAAGAGCCTGGCCTAAATTTAGACACAAACTTGTGTTCTGTGCTCTGCTGCGACGGACTTAGCCGTGCCTTTGACATCATGGAATGCATTTTCCACATGATGATATTGCACAACTTGCCAAGCTGTTCCTGTGCTGGTCTCACACTTCTGTAGCTCCCACTTGCACGCTTAAAATGGGTCATAATAAAGTTGAAAGAGTACTTCAGACTTTAATTATGCTGATGGTCTGCAGGCCAGATGCAGTTGACCTTATGCTTTGAGTCTCTTACTTTCCTGCTCATCATAAAGCTCTATTTGTCCTTTTGTTCACTCTATGCTGATGACTTTAGAGTTGCACAAGCATGGCAGGCGGCGGAGTGATCCAGGAAGAAAAGGTGTTCTTATCATGTAACGTTCCCCATGGCATGTGTTATTGTTCTGTGGTGGAATATTCAAATAGGAATGAAAGGCTGTTGTCCTAGGATTTATATTATGTGGCTTTTCGGCCCTCTCAGTTTTACTCTGTCTTTCAGGGGTTGGGTGGAGGGCTGCAATCCAACCTGCTGATCACCCCGTGGCTAACTTTGAGTTTGATGTGGTGGTGGGAGCTGACGGACGCAGAAATACCCTGGAAGGTGAGAAGACGGCAAACAAAAGTGATGAAGAGTATAGATGCCTCAAGGATGTACTGTACTTTTAGGCCTGATGAACCTGTTGTGACTAAGAAATTGCTCAAAAATAGTTTAATAGCAGACCTATTGTGCACTTTACAGCCCTTACATTCCTCCAGACTTTTTCTGGGCTCTCACTTTAAATAAACTTGAGGCACGTTATTACAATGCTATAAATGAAACCCACCTTTTGCAAACTTGCACTTGCACGGAGCCATTGATCTCTCCCAGTGGGACCGGCTGCACACAAAACAGCCAAAGCTCTGTACATAAATAGAGCAGAGCTGGGGCTCAGCGCAGCAGCTGATGCTTTCCCCCTGGATCGGTTCCATCATCCCATCTCCATCCGTCTCCTCTCTTTTAAAAATGCTGTCATCTAACGACCAAATCGCAACAAATGCTTATTCCTAAAAAGGGCATTCTGGGGCAGAACAAAACGTTTAGCTCATTCCCCAATTATGAAGACTCCTGGGGGAAATAATTTTTCCCTGCAGTGAGCTTGCTTTTGTGTCTTAGCTACGGTAACATAGAGCAAAATGCTCTCCGTTTGTTGTTGCTGGTTTTGGAAACGAGCAGTGAAGTGACGGATGACATTTAACAGTGACAGTGCGGAGAGGCTGCAGCACATGCTCAGAGCATCACTTCTGTACCGTCACTATTGCACACATCACTTTGTTATATGGAACCACTTGATTTCCCCCCTTCCTTGTAGCCTTCACACACTCATAGTTGGGAGTCTTTCATTTACAGGTTGGAAAAGAAAATAGTTTGATTTGCCAGTAAAATGTTGAACCTTAATTTGAGTTATTTTGGTTATGGGACTGAAGAATGCATGATGTTTTTATTTTTTTTGTTTCCTGTGTCCATTTCTGTTCAAAAGATCTGACATTGGCAGTCATCAGCAGAGCTATTCTGCTACTTTTGTATTTAAAAGATTTAATTAGATTCCACAAAGATACTTTTAAAACTATTTTTGAACTTGAATTCTTACACCTTGAATACATTGTTAATAAAATGAAAGAATGCCACATACTTTTGGTTCTGAAGGCTAATTTGATGATACGTTTGGCAGTTTACTTCTTCGGGCTTTTTACAACACATAGCTTTTTGTTTCCTTGTCGCTAAAAAGAATCACCTTGGCAAGCTGCCTCTTATCCTAAAATGACTTCCTTGCAGTTGTGGTTTACTGCTAGATTTCCTCTGGAAAGGATGATAGGCCTTTGTTTGCTTGTGAAGATTAACATCCCCATTTCTTTCTCTCTTCCGTCTTTATTTTTTCCATTCTCCCAGGTTTCAAAAGGAAGGAGTTCAGGGGTAAACTGGCAATCGCCATCACAGCCAACTTCATCAACAGGAACACCACCGCAGAGGCCAAAGTAGAAGAGATCAGTGGAGTGGCTTTCATCTTCAACCAGAAGTTCTTTCTTGACCTCAAAGAAGAGACAGGTGGGAAGGGAGTGCAAATAGACTCATTAAACCTGGCAATTTCAGAGGCTTAAATTTGAATAAATGCCTAGTTAGTCAGTATCTGATGCTGAATTGTCTTGAGTCCAGTATCACCAATGCTTTATTGTTGCTTGGTATATGATTTTTATCCCCTTGGTGGGTAGTTGCTAGGTAACGTAATGATGTCATGTCATCCATATTGAAATTTTTGTGTTGATTTTGTGATGTTATGATTGTGAAATAGAAACAATGTTATGCTTTCACAAGGTGTTATAGGTGCATTAACACAACAAATGAGTCATTTTGTTGGTAGATGGTTGCTAGGCAACATGATGACATCATGATATGCGACATAGAGAAAAGCCCTCAGGCGCCTAAGATGTACCTGTGTGCCAATTTTGGTTGCTCGACTCCTGATAGTGTAGGAGGAGTCTGTGGGCAAGCAAACAGACAGAAGGAGATTTAGTAAGATTACAAACTGGGTGTTACACTGTGCTGTTATAGTTTTCACTCACCCATCCAAATCATTGAATTCAGCTGTTCCGATCACTTCCATGGTCACAGGTGGATAAAATCAAGCACCTACACCTGCAGCTCCGTGAATTCAGTGAATTTAGTGAGGAATTTATTACTAAATATAAGTCAACTGTTAGTGGTATTGTAACAAAGTGGAAGTGATTGAGAACGACAGCAACTCAGTTATGAACTCACAGAGTAGGGTCAACAGAGGTTACCGACTTTCTGCAGACCTACAAACTTCACGTGGGCTTCAGATTACCTCTAGAACAGTGCCTACAGAGCTTCATGGAATGGGTTTTCATGGCTGAGCAGCTGCATCCAAGCCTTACGTTACCAAACACAATGCAGAGTGGCGGTTGCTGTGCTGTAAAGCCTGCTGCCACTGGACAGCAGTGGAGACGTGTTCTCTGAAGCTGCAAATCCCACTTCTCTGTCTGGTAATCAGATGGATGATTCTGGATTTGGCAGGAGAACGGTGGTTGTCAAACTGCTACAGTTGGACACTTTAAAAGCATGTTAAATATTTGATGAAACACATGCGATTAAAGAAAATGCATGTTACATCATCCAATTTTTGCATTTCAATTTTTTTTCAACAGTGGATGAGTCTTAAATATCACACATAATAATGGATCCAATAGGATCAGCCACAATTATCTGTTAGATGAAAACCAAGCTGTTTAGATTAAACTTCTCTGTGAGACCACTAAGTCACTACAGACCAAATGCAGCAAAAATCAGATCTAAAATCTTTAAATTTACTAAAAGTTTCAGGGGTATTTTGCACAGTGTTCTCAATACCTGAAGAAATATCAAGAATGTTGTGCAGCGACTGTTTTCATTATTTTCACTGTGATCATTCTGAGCCTCCAGCAATAAAAAATAAGAAGTCTGTTCATCCGAAAGAGACACTGATGTGTGAAGAAACCATTTATTTAAACCCCTTTCAGCATACAAAAGCGAGTTCAAGCTTTCATCTCTGTGGAAAAAGCTTGTTGGTGATTTTTATGAATTGTAGCCGTAACGCAAACTTGTCATTTGTCACAGGTATTGATCTGGAGAACATTGTGTACTACAAGGACAACACACATTACTTTGTCATGACTGCCAAGAAACAAAGCCTGCTGGACAAGGGAGTCGTCATCAACGTGAGCAAAATACACTAGCTCCACAGATCTGCTGTAATCTTAATTCATGCTGTCTGGTTTTTTTTTTATCGTTGTTATTTATCTTATATTTTAAAAACAAAGAATATTACAGGCAATTTTCAGTTCAGGTTTCTTATTCCAAGAATTAATATCATGAACTAAATACAATAAATTTGAAATCGTCAAATCTTTTGTTTATTTCTAAGACTGCGTCGGTCATGTGTTAAATTCATTGTATTGTAATTTGTTTAGCCCTAAGCACTGGATTCAGGAGAACCATAACAGCTAACAGATCCAGACAGATGTTGACAGAACTTGATGCTTCAGAGATTTCGATTCAGAACGATTTGATTTTATCATTTATAAATCTGTGCTCATCAGTTTTTCTTACTTACTTTTCCTTTATTCACTGTCTTCTGTTGATTTCTTTCATAAACAGAGAGCTTTTGTTTCGGTTTTGCACACAAATTCATTGTGGTTGTTCTGACTGCTTCGGTCCGACAGGATTACTCAGACACAGAGATGCTGCTGAGTGGTGAAAACGTCAACCAGGAAGCTCTTTTGTGCTACGCCCGAGAGGCTGCTGACTTTGGCACAAACTACCAACTTCCCACACTGGACTTTGCCATGAACCATTGCGGGCAGCCAGATGTAGCAATGTTTGACTTCACTAACATGTACGCCTCTGAGAACGCTGCTCTGGTCAGGGAGAGATTTGGACACCAGTTGCTCGTAGCACTGGTTGGCGACAGTCTGCTTGAGGTAAGACAGCAAGTAGCAGAATCCGGCATTCATGGCATGGATATTTCAATTCCTCTATCCAATTGCTGTGGGCAGAAGACCGGGTAGAAAGAGGTCGTTTACAGTTTGCTCTGTCTCAAACTTGATGGTGATGTTGTCTGGAATCACTAAGGGAGCAGAATTTTTGTGCTCTGAGACAATGGTGGTGGTCCAGAAGCACACAGGGACATTTCAGGAATCTATTTAGAGACATGGGCAACCTGAGCTTTTTTAGGAAAGTGTGTAAGATATTCAAACTTGGATAGTCAATGCTTTGGTATGTGACATGACAGGGTAAAACATAACAACAACAGAAATACTAAAGACATCCCAAATTCCAGACAAGACCAAACTTTTCTCTAATGGAGCCACATTTTTCTCATTTCTTTGGTTTCCCATCACTTTTATTTTTTACTGTGTAAGCAGTCTCTCTGTAAAAGGAAATCTGCACTCAGAAAACATAATCACCCCCTAACACTTCATGTTTGCAGTTTGCTTAAGCATGACTTTATTTTTCCATTATTTCAACTTCTATGACCTGGAATCCAAAAAGCTTGTCTCCTTTTTTTGTATATCCCCCAATGACCAAGAGAAGAAGTATGTCAAACAGACTAAAAGCCACGGCACGATGTCTCTAACAATAACTGGCAAACTTGTTGTGTGTTGCTGTGTAGCCCTTCTGGCCAATGGGAACAGGCTGCGCCAGAGGCTTCCTGGCTGCCTTCGACACGGCCTGGATGGTAAAGAGCTGGGCGCAGGGTCAGCCAGTCCTCGAAGTGCTGGCAGAGAGGTACCCACACTTTATGTTGGGCATTAGTGAGCGCCTCCTATAAATCAGTGCTACTCAAACACATTGTTCACATAATCAGCATGTCAAACTCATTTTACGTTGTGGGCCACGAACAGCCCACTTTGATCTTTAGTGGGCCGGAGCAGTGAAACTCACCTTTCTCTCAGTGTAAAGACATTTAACTACACATTTAATTTAACTTAATTAATTTAATATTCTAATATAAGAAGTGCAACTTTAGCAGTACATGTCAGTTTTTCTACATGATAAAGAAATGCTTTGGGCTTAATAATAATAAATCTTTTTAATTGTAAGAAAAAAATGCATTATTGTTATTTATTTATTTATTTGTGTGTAACATTACAGAAAAAACTCTGCTAGTTTCCTGTAATTATAAAATGGAATATTTCTGTTAATTATTTTTGAACCAAGGGAAAAATGTTGTTATTTAAATGTTTATCTATTACTTATTTACTTCGGTCTTTATCAGCAGGAAAAGCTATAAAACTATGAAAATACAGTTAAAAGTTTATATCCTCCCTCACATTTTCCAAAACTGTCCTGTTGGCCTTCTTGAAGGGGACTGATCCTTGCCCCCGGGCCTTAGGTTTGACACACTGGCATTAAAGTGATGCAGTAATGCCTCTTGTCTTGGTACAGGGAGAGCATTTACCGACTACTACCACAGACAACCCCTGAAAACATTGCCAAAAACTTTGAGCAGTACACCCTAGACCCAGCAACTCGATACCCCAACCTCAACTCTACCTGCATCAGGCCTCACCAGGTGAGATGTCAGCAAATCTGTCAATGGATCATTTAAATACTAATACTAATATCTCAGTTCCAACAGCTTTTTCTTTGCCTTTCTGTTTCAGGTGCGTCATTTGTACATTAGCGGACAGCTTAACCCCTGCTCTCTCGAGCGTGCCGCTACCATACGACGGCCTGTCAATCTCTCCAGACGTGGTAAGGGTTAAAGGAATTGAATGCCACTGAGTCATCTCCGGTTATTCACTAATACTATAACTAATAGGGTTTCTTCTCCTTTCAAAGGCTCCTAATGCAATCATTGTAGCCTAAATCTCCCCCATTCAGTTCCTTCCCTTCTAACAGAAGTAGTAAGTCGCCAGAATTAACTTCAGTTTAGGGAATAAGTCACGATATGAGGTTTGTTTTTACATGTGGGTTCATTGAAGAGAGGAAACTTTGAAAGAAGAGCTGCCGAGCTATGAAAGAAACAGTGAAACACACATACATCCCTCTCCAATATCAACAAAACTCAATGTCACGTCCATAAAACAACCCTGCGTTTAAACATTTAAAAAAAAATCAATGACAAAATTTTGAAACCCGAAGCGAAAAGTAAACATTGGTGCCAGAATTCTGTTATATTCTGTTTAGTCTGATTATTCTCGCACTACTCTGTGTGTTTGAGTAAAGCCACTTTAGTCAGTCATTCGCTCTTATGAGCAAGCACGTACTTGTTTCTACAGGTTTGTGTACAAACTCCAGCACCCACTCTAAACATCTTCTTGCCACTCTATGTAACAGCACACTATTTGTTGGTTTGTCGTCGTGACATCATATCTGACATCATAACCACCGAAACTTTCTTCTAACACAGCCTGCCTTCTTTTCACTGCTTTTTAAGAATTTGATCATTTTAAAAAAAATCGTCTTTTTTGTGCTTCTGTGGCAGACTCAGAGGTCAGACCAGCGAGGCTTCTCACTTGGTGCCAGAAGCAGACGGAGGGCTACAGGAATGTGATAATCACAGACCTGGCGTCTTCTTGGAAAAATGGTATCGCCCTCTGTGCCCTCATCCACAGATTCAAGCCTCAGCTGATGTACGTATCATCTGTCAGATAATATCAACCTGCAGAGCCACAAACTGATCCCAAACCAGTTGCGTTAACATAGTCGTAGCATGCATGTATTCACATGAGCGTTATCTGTTTTCCTGAGAAGATGAACTCCATGAGCTCTTCAAAAACAACTAGTTGTGAGGAAATTCACATCTTAAAATGGAATGCTAAATATGCTTGGTATGCAATGAAAGGTACTGATCTATATGTGTGTTTATGTGATCTGCTCTCTACCTCCTTAAAACTTGTGCTGATAGATGGGTAAAAAATACTTCATGCACAGCTGTCCCCGAACTAGCTGGGTGCTCACAGGAGTGTGCAGCTGTGTAAATTTCATACATGTCAAGCCAAATTAAATAAATACTAGCTGCTCCAGTACCCATAGCAATGTGTGTCCAACAGAATTACTATTGACTTGTATTTAATTCTAAAAAAACCCCAAGTTTTTCTCTCTATCGATTCAGAGCTGTGGAGAAAAACAGCTAATCAAGAACAAAGAACAAAAGCCATACTTTCATTCTTTGCCACGTTTCAGATCAGACTGCTTCTCACAGCATGGATTTAGTAACTCTAATTTTATCCTCTAACCCCTTAATTAGTGCCTTCATACCTTGCCACATGCCACCACAATTTCATCTGGTCCTGTAAGTTTCCAGGAACCACTGGCATTTTTCCCCTTTCCTCTTTTCCATATGCATGACTGTCAGCAGAGCAGACAGCAGACAGAGCAGGTTCACAGAAGAGAAAGGCAGAAAAAAGTGAGCCTGAGCACTTAGCGAATAATGCCAGAGTTTGTGTGCTCTGCTGCTAGGTTACCGCTCTTGTCTTTACATTACTTCATTACTTCTGAAGTCGTCTGCACACTGTCCACTTAGGTGACGACATAAAGATGCCGTTTCCCCCATTAGAGGCTACTGGCTGCTATTTTCTCCTGCATTTGAGGAAAGCGGTTCTTTGGCTGTGTTGGAAATAAAAATGTGTTTCTGAGTGACGTCATTCCTTTGCACATGTAGTCATTGTCAGTCACATGAAATGTACAGTTCCCTTAAAGAATGTCACTTACACACCACACATGTCCGCAGTGCATCTTAAATAATATAATAATATTTTGGTGAGCCCATGTGAGTTGGAGCCTCAGTTTCCTGTTCTTAGATGACAGGAGTAAGCACCTATTGTGGTCATCTGCTTCATGTGCATTCAGGGATGCTCTTCTGCATATGCATACCTTTGTTATAACAAGTGCTTATTTTGAGTTACTGTTGGCCTTCTGTTAGCTCAGATCAGTATTCTGACCATTTTCCTCCAGTGTCAACAAGTTATTTTCACAAATTTTCTCTTTTCAGGCCATTCTCTGTAAACCATAGAGATGTTTTTTTTTTTTTGAGAAAATCCCAAAACGGTTTCTAAATTACTCAGATCATCCCACATTTAAAGTCACTTAAATCATCTTGTGTCCATAATATGATTCCTAGTTAGAACTTCATCAGGTCATCTTGGCTGTGTCTAAATTTAGTTGTGTGATTGGCTGCTTATCTTGATTACCAAGCAGTTAAACAGATGTACCTAATGAAGTGGCCACTGACTGTAAGTCAACGTAATACCCATATTTTAAAAACAAGTTTTTATGTGTGTGTTGAGGAGTGATTTGGGAAAATGTAAACCAGTACCAGACAAAAGCAAAACAGTCAAAAAACTCTGACAACTTGTGTTAAATTACAATAAAAACACATAATATATTTATACTGTTTAATACTCAGTGTGACTGTTTTTGCCTCCATCAGAGATTTTGACTCATTAAACGACGAGGACCACGTTGCAAACCTCCAGCTGGCATTTGACATCAGTGAGCGGGAATTTGGGATTCGTCCATTCACATCTGCGAAGGAGCTGAGTAAAGAGGAGGAGCTGGATAAAACCAAGATGATCAACTACCTGTCCAAGTTCTACGAGCTCTTCCGCGGAACGCCTCTACCTGCATCAGGTGCCCTGCTCTATTATTCTGTGTTGTTAGTTATAGCCACTGAAGCCTGGTATTCGTAATATTTCTCCCTCTGTTTTGTTTTTATTCCTTATCTTTTACACCAGATTCCATCGGTGTTGAAGGTCTTACATTTCTTTGGATTTTCTGTGAAAAAATTCGCATGTTGTTCCATCCTGTTAATCAAGTGTAATGGTATGAGAGGAATGTGTATCTGCACCAGCACTGCGAGGTTGCACAAGTCTGAGATTCTCAACAGCATACAGCTGTCTGTCTCAACAGAAGTGCTTTTAAAATTTCTGCCTTAACTCTTTTGGAATATTTAACCCCCAACTTCTTACTTCAGCTTCACTGTTTCAGGGAAATGAAAGGGGGTGTCCTCTTTTCTCCCAAACCACTCTTACATATTCTGTGATCTGTAAGGGAATTTCACAATAATGTGACCTTACTGGCTGTTCACGGTTGAAAAATGTGAAGCTGTTAATGCAGTCATGTGTTATTCTGCAGGTTCCAGAGGAGTGGATGAAAACAATGAAGATTATCCGTCGAAGGAAGTCAAAAGTAATAATAATGTGCTCAATTTTGCACTGACCAGGAAACGGGTGCCAAAGGTAACTCTGCGCAGAAGTGCAAGTTTTTCTGTTTGTTCCTTCGGTTTGCTTTATTCCCACTTGTTATTGATTAGTCATGACTGTCACATATTCCGATTTTTTTCCTTGCTCTTTGTTTTTAGGAAGAGAAGAAGCTAGACGGTACAGACCCCATTTACAAAAGAAGGCGGAAGTTCTATTTGGAGGAGGTTTGTTAGCATATAATTTGCAAGTGCATCGTTGATCATTTTGCAGGTTCTTTTATGCAGTAAGTTTTGTCTGTCTCTCTTTAGGCCACTAACTTGGCCAGTAATGGCTCCACAGTTCGAGACAGGCCGGATCCAAAGGAAAATAAAGTGCGCTCTATGGCTACGCAGCTGTTGGCCAAGTTTGAAAATAAACCGAACTACACCATCCGCAAAACACAGGTAGAAACTATACACCAATATGTCTCGCAATCGTATGTAGATTTTATTTTATTTCCTGAGTACTAAGTACTGTATGCACTACATTTATCTAAACAACAGTCCAGAAATGGTAAAATCGCCATAGAATTTTTCTTTTTATTTCATGGATCATAAATATGATTTAAATTTCCCCAGTTATGAGCTCGATTCAGACAGTGGCTTGTGGTTTTAATCTGACAAAACTTTCCTTTTTGCTAGTGCCTCAAAATCTTCTCTTGTCTGATTTTGCTGCTGATATTTAATCTACTCATATGTTTCTGTTTCTGTTCTTTTTACTAACCCTCTGCAAAATCACAGTCAGACTTGGAGGAGTCCTCATTCCTCCGTACTCTCGACCTCACTGACGGTCTGCCAGTTAAACTCAGACCTCCGGTCCCACCCAAACCTTCTCCTGTGACACAGGTAGTCCAGAACTGCACAAATTAGACAAACCAAATGCATCTGAAAAAAGTGTTTAAAACCTATAAAATTACAGCACGTCCAATATATGTACTTCATGTAGTGGATTTTAGTAACAGATGCCACTATTGTATAAGGCTCTAGCAGAATTCTTCCAAAACAGAGGTTTTTGGGGATCTTTAAAAGGCCATACTTGTGGTTTTGCTTTCTTTGGGTCTGACTGACACGGTCCCTAATTTTACTCCATAAACCAGCTAAATGCCTTCATGCTTGACTGCAATCACATGTTGCACACGCACACTCATTGAAGCTGGCACAAAACTGAAATCTCAAAATTTAAAATACACAATTAGACATCTGTTTGTTACTTAAATCAAGTAAACAATGCTTACTTTGCAGTTAGCTTTAAATTCAAGCTTTATTTAATTTTCACATTTGATATATGTTTAAATATTCAGAATCACACATTATATGAATATAAGATCCACGCCTGTATTACAGATAGTCACTGAACAGGCTCAGGATGAAGCAGTTTGTGGACAAACAAGAACTCTTTGATAGAAAAACTTAAAATTTTAAAGTCACTTGAACATTTTTTGGAATTTCACATACATTTACTTACATTCCAAGATGGCTGCTTATTATGTTTGCGAATAGTCGTAGCCAATGAGATAAAAAAAAAAACCCATTGTGTCCTATTCAGCCACTGCTGAAGTCAAAGCATTGCATTCATTAGCTGAGCTGTTGGAAAACCAGCAAAAAGCAACAGTCAGCAATGTCATAAATTCTTTCATTCACGTTGAGTCTTCGGTTGCTGACTTGCAGTCTCAGATGTCAGGCTGGTTTTCCAATTCTTGAGCATCCCCCAAATAAATCTTCTTTAAAAACAGGTTCTTCTTACACATGCATGACCACGAGATGGTTACATAACTCTGGGAAAACATAAAGCAAACAGGCCCATATTGATATATTACCTATGCGGGCTGATTTTCATACTGTGCTAGCATGACTAATGTCTGCCAAGGGGGCAGGAAATCAATGTGAAAACTTGTGCTGTGCTTTAAAATGGCTGATTATTTTTAGTTAATGGGTTGAAACCATCCGTATGGCTTTTTACAGTATCTGATCTCTGAGTGGATGCACACAAAAACAAAGGATTCGTTGTTTGTTTGCTTAGTGACGAGTTATAAGAGCTCACATGTTCATTGTCCCTTTCAGTTTGGAGTCAGTATCAGAAAAGCAGCACAACAGTTAGTCCGCCTGCCTCCAAAGACTCTGCCCAAACCCCAGCTTCAGCCCCCACATCCATTTTCTGTAGTAAAGCTCAGACATGTCGATCTAGCGCATGCTGAGACGAAGCCTCAGCTGGAGGGTGCAGAGCCCCCTGTTTCTCCTTCCTCCTGTCAGTCAGCAGTCCATTTCATGACAAGAGTCCTCCATCGTCTCAAGGAGGTGGACGAACACATCTCTGAGGTGAACAGTGCCTCTTCTTTTATTTCTTTAACTCCTGTTTTCTGTCTATTTTTTCATTCTGTCCTCTTTCTAAATCACTGTGATTGTTGCGTTTCTCAACAAGGAGTGAATGTTGATTATATATCATTTTCTGATTATACATTTAGGCTCGTGTAATATGCAGTCTGATGGTGAAGTCAGCCCCTTTATTATCCAGCCTGACAAAAATTTGCAAGAGTAGTCTTACAGACCTGGCACAAACTGAAACAGACACACTGATTATTCGCAATCTGCAGTCACAAGCTGCAAATGGGTTCCCGCTAAGCGCTATACAAATACAGACCATTTACCATTTCCTGCACCGACTCCATTCTGCATTACAAAAGTATCAGTGACATATCAATCCAATATCAAATAATTTAGTGTAGACATTAAAGTGCAAAGGGATATTTTAGTTTTGAATGCACTTTCCTTTAAGTATGGGAAGAAAAATAATGCATGTGCTTATTAAAGATAACTTTGAGCTATTTCAAGTGCTGGCAGAAAGAAATAATAGACTGGTAAATTATTATAATCTGAGTGAAGTGTCCTTTTTTTGTAGATGTTGCTTAGTTTTAAATTAGGAGCACTTTTCCCCTTTGCTAACTTAGCTTATCTATATTTAGCGTTGTTGGAAGTTTTTGGCCTTTAATTTAGTCTTTTTTATGATCCTTTACAAAAGTTTTGAAATCCATATTATCATTATCATTATTATTATTATTATTATTATTATTATTTTTAGAGCTATCAGACTGTTGCTAACTAGCTATCAAATTATTACCACTCTCAAATCTGTCCATGACTGGAGTCAGAAGATCGCTAACTTAGCTTAGCATAAACAGTGAGCGCAGGGCTAGAAACATGCAACTTAGTTTGTTTTTTTGTTGGACTGCCAACAGACACAATGTCTGATTTATTTCTTTAGCAAGAGTCAGGAAGATATTAGAACTTACAGCTGTTCTGTGGGAGGTTTTTGTTCCCACTGTTGCAAAGTGCTTGCTCATAGAGGAGTTGCTTGATTGTTGGGATTTTCTCCAATAATGTGAGATTCTCCAGCCGACTGATGTGAATTGGCGCGATATAAATATATAAACAGGATATGAATTCACGAGATGTTTTTTCCTCATTCCACTGTTTATGCTAAGCTAAGCTAACCCCCTGGCTCCAGCTCTAGACTGACATGAATGGTCCACTGACACGCCTCTGATTTTGAGATTGTAAAAACAATGACGCTGTTTCAACACATAAACTCTGACTAATGTCAAGAGAATCAGCCACAGAAACTGTGTGACGTTTTCCTTATTTACATGTTGATTGGTTTAAGTGTCACCTCTTGTTCAGACATCATACAGACTTTACACTATGGAACTGACTGATTAGAGACTGTTTAATGTCCAATCTGACTGCTTTGGACATGTGTATTTTCAAATATAGGTCAGCCGCTATGTGAAAATGTTCCTTTAAGCTGCTGGCTTCAGATATTTTACCCACGCCTGTGTTATTAATGTTGAGATAAATTACATCATTATTTTAGTCTAATCTGAAAATGAGTAATTGTCCTTTTCATTCATGACTTTGGTTGAACTCATATACTAGTCTCTCATTTCTCTGCCAGGACTGTGTGACTATCCCGGTTTTCTGTTCCCGTACAGTTTGAGTAATTACATCAGCTCAGGTGTGAAATTAATATAATAGGGCGGCTTTTCAAACAGCGACGTCTTTGTTCTCCTCTTGACAATAGACACTTAGCTGTCGAATCCTGCTTCTCGTTGAGAAGACGATAGAAAGGTCTGTCATCACTTACGTGCGCAGTGCTTATTAAGCATTTATTAGTCTGCCTAATTTTGCCTGCGCACACAAAAAGGGTTGTTGGATGAACTGATTACTTTTCTTTTGCCATCCTGCAGAAAAAAGCTCAGACACAACAGGTTAGAGAGTTTCATGCAAAGAGTATAAAGGAAAAAGCCGTCCACCTTAGCGGGTTGTTCCCAGGAAACGGTTCTGATGTACTTAAGGTGAATATCTCCAGCTTGATGTGTGATCCCACACTATCCTGTGTGTCTCTGTGCTCCCTGCCCCTCAAAGTGTCCTCATTTGCACGTGTTTTAGGACACAGTTGTGGCATGTTTGCAGTGTTCTCCATCGTTCATTAGTTTTCTAGTGTGTTTATTCTTTGTTTCAATAGAACAAAAGAAATACTTTAACCTCAGATTTCTATTATTGTCATGTGCTTTGCATGAGAGCTTTGCTTGAACTGCTGTTTCTGCCCTTTGCTTTTAATTACTGGCAGTCCTCAGAGGACAGAAGTGTGTACTCTTGTGGTTTCACTCTTAGGGTTTCTCTGCTCCACCCTTCCCCAAAAAGCTGTCTCCAACTTAAAAAGCCCATTTCAACCCCCCCAAATATCCAGTTTATGTGTTTTACTCCTGGCCTGTAGTGTTAATATGGTGTGCACCATTTATAGTTGGAAGTTGGAAGTCCAGTTTAGAAAGTCATAACAGCCCCAACTTTACAATCCAAATTAGCATAAGGGAACGTAAACAACGGAAAAGCTAAAATTGGTCATCTGCACAGTCACTGTTGTGTGTTGACGCTACCTTTTCCGACTTTTCTACTGAAAGGTACAGGATTAATCCATTTACGTATTTCATTGTAGCTTGGGAAGAAACTGCTGGAGGTGGAAAAGGAGCGCTGCAGGCCAGAGAGAAAAATATGTAAATTGGATGCCGTTATAACAGCCAGATATTATAGCAAGAGTTACACTAGTAGAGTATAAAGGAACAACTCCTGGTAGGTAATTATAATCAAGTATTTGTGTTTTACAACCAGTGGGTACACATGAGTAAGTAAGTACATAAGGGCAGGATCATTGAAAAGGAAGCTGAGACTCAGCCTCAGTGTGTCAGTTATAGTGACAGATCTAAAATTCACTTTTTTGCTGTTTTCCCAGGGCGGCTCAGTGCGAAGGGCGTTTCCCCCGTCGGGTGACAAGTGTCACTCGTGTCAGAAGCGTGTTTATATGGTGGAGAGGATCTGCACCGAGGGGCTTTACTTCCACAGGGAGTGTTTCCGCTGTTCGACCTGCAGCTCTGTTCTTCGACAGGGAGCGCATGCTTTCCACTCTGAAGAGGGTATGCTTCTCCAAATGGCGTAGCCACATATTACCTACATGGCACAGAATAACTGAAATGGCTCATCTTGACCTTCACTTTGATCTTACAGGGAAACTCTACTGCAAACTGCATTTTGATCAGCGGAACAATGGGACGAGCATACGGAGGACTTTCTCTCTACCCTCAGTGAGACCTGTGCGTATTTATCCACCTTCCTCTGACAATGATGGATGCAAGGTGTCTAACTTCTCCTCCCATCACCTCCTTCTTAGAATCGTGATAGCATTCAGGAGCACCGTCCTACTGATGAAGATATCACCCCCTCCAGCAGTCCGGCAGACCTGCAGAGTGAACCCGCAGCAGGTACCTTCAGCTCGTTCATGAGGAAACAGCTGAGCTGGCCTCTGAGTGTGACTCGTGCTGTGTGCAACGCCCCCCGGTATCTGTCCCAGCGCGCGTGTCATGCAGCACGGGCCTTTGCCGGCCACCTGAGAGACAACGCACAGGACTACACGTTGCTGTATGAGCTACTGAGCATGAGCTTGCCACTGCTGTTTGTTTTACAAGAAGTACTGCTGCAGATGTACACAGAGGCTGTGCCTGATGGGCCGAGCTCTTTAGAGCCTTTACTGCTTTGGCTGCAGGAACATATCAGGCAGAGGATAATCTAGACTTTCAGCTGCAAAAATTTAACCCTCAACATTAAACCAGAGGCCGAGGAGTTCATTAGTTGCAGCGTCCTCAACCTGTTATCATTTTGTACATGTGCACAAGCACCTTCCTGATGTTTACTTACTTTTTATGATGACACTGTAGGTAGATGTTAGATGTGTGGGTGTGCTGGGTGTGCACTAGCCAAAGAAGACACACTGTAGGCTACTTATGCAAAAAAAAATTTGGTTTACTTTTAGTAGTTTACTTTGGGGTAGTTTGTCAAGCAAGGAAAACTGCACCAAATAATTTTGCAGTGGGTTTGATGTGTGAACTGTTATAATATATTGGACACATAGGTTAAAGAGTAAATAGGCAAGTAAATCAAACAAGCCATGATCAGAACATTGGAGCCTTTTAGGCTAACTTTTTACAAACTTACTCGTGAAACTGGCCCTGCAGTTAACTGGGATTATGACTGACTAACTTGATGCACTTTAACTTTGAGAACTGCCATATCAATGTAGAAGCAGACATTTGTCACATTTGACAAAAGCCTGTTCTCATATTAACAGTGACTGCAAGGCAGGCTTTCATTTGACTATGCATATGTACTAAAGACATTTTAATATGTATGCAGGCATGTCTTTTAACAGTCATGTAAGCAGGTTTTTTTACTATCATTTTATAAAACAAACTCTCTGTTTACTCTCAACAACTATTTTTTTTTTTTTTTTTTTGGATAACACCAAATGATATTTGACACTATGGACTGTCCTAAATACTTTTAGGTATTTAGTTCAACTTTGCTGCCATCTGCTGTTCACTCAGAACAATATATATAGAAATGTGGTAAAATTATAGCCGCAATTAAATTTAAAATAACCGAACAGGTTAATATTTGGTCTAACTGAGGAAAAACAGGAAACACAGGGTCAGCAGCACAGGGTGGCTCCACCGGAACGGAGAGATTTTCCGTTTTGCTGTAGACAATAGAAGCGGTGAGCACGCTGTGATGCGTTTGAATGTGCTTGCCGCTCTTGCTGTAATCTGAAAGCACGATGTCGGACAATCAACTGTAAACCTCTCTGACTAGAAGCCACATAGTTGCTTCCTATTTAGACAATCTATTGATGCTCGTGAAGCACTTTAGAGTAATTTTTAAGGATTTGAAAATCGTCTGGCATTATCGTAAGCGTTTGATGACACTATGTTTGTGTTTTGCTCTCTGCTGCCTTATAGTTTGTGTTAAATTACAGAATCGTGTGATCTTATTTTCCGTGCTGTGCAGGTGGAAAACATGTTTTGTTTTGTTTTTTAATACCAAAGAACAGTTTTCAAGCAAACTAACTGGACTTGCTTCTGTTTAGCAAGTTGACGGTCGAGCAAACTGTAATGTGCACAACGGTGCCAGCATTAACTCTGAATGTCAGTATTGTGCATCGTTTTCATAAACATTTTCTATCTTTGTGCACTGTGCTGTGTTTATTTGCCTTCATGTTGTCATTTTTTTTTATCAGTTCGTGCTTCTCTTTTCCTCTCATTCAGCGGACGCCTTTTATGAAGCCTGTGAGACAATCGGGTGGTTAGGAGAAATGACTTTTTAAAGGTGATCACCTGCATGGTTGCATCAATGTGAGGCTGTAGATGCTGATATCACATATCAGCGGTTTTAGTGCTGAAATAATATTTTCTTTGAAGTGACACTAAGTTTAAGCTAAGCTAAGATCAGGACTAATCAACAGTTTTGGGAATGAACTAGTACTAATTCAGCATGGTTTGAGACCTCTGCAAAGAAGCAAAGAGCAAATAAGTTCATGTAACTTTTTTTTATTCCGATCTCACCACAAGGTCTTAGTCTTTTTTGGAGTGTTTTCTTCTTCTTCTCATGGATACCTTAGTCGTTCAAATAAACTACTGCTTTCAAGGTGAAGAGTAACATTTCCAACTCAAATTTAATCTAAACATGAGGGAAAAAAGTGTTGCTTTTGTTGCTCCAGAATAGCTTCTGTACATATTGAACCTTGAGGTGAGATTAAATGTTTCTAAAGTCAACATTTAACAGTGCACCCTTTTTTTGGAATTATGTTTCATTGAGCTGATGTTGTATTTTAAAGGCGAGCTTCCATCAGCGTCTCCTTACAGGAGTTGGGGAGTGTGAAAAATATCCCTTCCAGCTCCAGACCGGCAAGAGTTGTCACTTGAATGAGTATCAATTAAATCAAAAGATGTATTTGATTTAAAAAAAAAAAATGTGAGTGAGGATTTAAAGAGAAGTACTCTGGGAAGACCTCTTCAGCCTGTTCTTCCCGTCTCCGCTGGAGATGGGCAGCTCAATGCTACGTTATCCACCACTTGCGCGACATACCTGAAGTGCAAGCAACACAAGCATCCAAACTGACCGTGATTCCTCCTCTGTGGAAGAAAGGGAAAAGCACACAGCTGACTCATGTGTTTATGCAGTTACTGTAGAATGAGTCCATGAGAGCTACACCTAAAATTTGGCAGTGGCGGCCGGAAGGTGAGGCTTCAAAAACCTCCAGCTCCAGATGGCATCACATCAGACTGGTAATAAAGGCATTATTCTCGAAGCCTTTCCATGATGATCTGACAACAGGGGCAAAGAACTACGATCTGTTTTCAAACCAACATATTTAACGTTTGAGAGAAATGTTGTTCATTTAACTAATAATAATCATATCCCTTACTCCTAGTCCTACTGTGGTATAGGCACAGATAAGCAACTGACGTTCTAATCCACCATGGTGGATGAGCCAGAGTCATGCATATTAGTCTCATCAGTAATTTTGGTTTGTGATGTTTAGTAAAGAATAAGAATTTTTTTAAAATCCCTTTGAGGTCTACATCTTAAGTCTCAGGCAACAAACTAACAAATTTTCTCAATAAGTGATATCTTTCCCTTTACATGTCTCTTTGCTGGTTGGCCTCTAAAAGCTTGTTTTAGGATGATAATGATGGATGAGGCACATTTTCTTATTATTGTCAGTACACGGTAATGCCTGTTAAAGAGAGATTCTCTTGTTCAGTTCATGAGATTTAGAAGCAGACTTCTTTTCTTTGATTTATTAGTGCCGATATGACAAACACAACACTATACGCTGAAAAAACGGCTGTTAAATTAATGCTATTTTTCTTTCTTGTTCCCAGCTTTTTCATGCATGCATAAAAGTGTACAAAGATCTCTTAGATATGTCTTAGTTTTTCTCTACTCAAAATCAGTTGAACTTGCAGACTATAAAGAACAGCCGGGCATGTGCAGATTTCTTTTTAAAAGTCTGTTTTCTTTGACAGAAGAAAGCCATCACCTCATCCACTCATCAGTAAAAAGGGACTTCAAGTTTTATTGCTGGGCAAGTCTATCAGTAATGGGTTTTGTTGTTGTTGTTGTTTTAAAATAATTTTTTTATAATTGTTTGATTTTGCATCACTGTTTCAGGTTCTATTGCAGAGTAAATACACAGTAGTGACTGCTAACTTTTGATATGATGAATGTTTTTCTACCTTGATGGTCACATACAGTCAGTATGGTGTACACTTTGTTTTGCTGGGAAACTTTGGGTCCCTAGACTCACATCAGCCACCTAAACTTTGTTGCAAGCCAGTCAAATACATAGTGCCTCCAAATTTCCCAAATACTAATCAGACTGTGCTGCAGGATGCACAAGAGCAAGCAGGATCCAAAGAGGAGCCATTCTACAACCCACAGGACATGAATGTGCTACATCCTGGTGCCAGACATCCTGTATCCATGTCATAATGGGCCAGAGTGATTCTGACAGCACGACTTCTAATATCAGGCATTATCTTTTCAGTCCAACAAAAGAACATTAAACAAACTAAAAATAAAGCAATTAAAGCTGCTATAAATATATATATACATGGCAAAATTAAGTCTGACCTATTACACCGTTCCCTATTTTTTGTCATATAGATTCTGAGCACTCACACAATGCTCATATTAAACAAGTCCACCACTGCCTCTGTATCTGATATCATAAATATGTTTATTAACTCATCTCTGTCTGTGAGCACAGCAGCCTCAGCCACCTGCTGTTCACACCTTCTGTTTGAAATGGGCAGCCAAGATCCAGTGTAAAACACATATTTGAACTGTGAATCGTGTTTGCAAAGAACCACCGGTAGACATAATTCAAAGGAGGGTGCTGGAAATGAGCGTAACATGTCACCTTTAAAGAAGCCTGTTGCATTTCAGTGAATATTCATGAATATTCTCAGAAATGTAGAATTTTTTTTGTACTAACCTCTGCCTTTCTTGAATAACTTGAATTACATCTGGTTTTTGATGTACACAATACATTCTGTCTCTTCATTAATCAATCTCGAAAGCAAAGTGCTCTCTCATGTCTCTGAAAACTGTAGGTCTCAGAGGTTAAGCTGCCATTGACTGCTCAGCGAAAAATGAAAAAAAGATGCTTGCAAAAAGTAGATAAGTGAACTAAAAAGTCCTTGGCTTTAAAAAGTGTGTTCATCTTTTCAGATGAAGACCGTGTCATTTAAAAAATACACAGCAGTGAAGCCAAAAAATGTTCACTTTAAAAAGAACAAGCGATGTATGCAATCTTAAAAACAGCTTTTCATAGATATGTTTGAAGCCCTGTGAAAAACTAAGTACTCCCCACGATTCAGTAGCTTGTAGAACCACCTTTAGCAGCAAAAACTGGAAGCAATCCTTTTCTGTGTGATTTTATCAGTGGAGGAATTCAGGCTCACTCTTCTTTATAACGTAGCTTCAGTTCTATGAGATTTAAACACATTTATTCATACACAGCTCTCCCACTGCAGCATTTCAATCCCATTGAGGTCTGGACTTTGGCTGGGTCATTGCAACACGCCCAGCCCTTCTGTTGTACATTTTCTGCTCTGCTCTGGATCATTTGACTCAGTTTTGGCATCTGTCAGACAGACAGCTGACATTTGACTCTAAAATACTCTGGTATACAGAGAAGTTCGTTGTCAACTGCAAGGTGTCCAGATCACGAGGCTACAAACAAACCCAGAACATTGAAAGTTGGTATGAGGTTGTGCTGATACATTGTGTTTGGTGCAGTGCATCATGGCCAAACATTTCCACTTTTGTCTTGTTTGTCCCACGTTTTTCAGACTAATTGAGACCTGAGATGTAGCTCTTGGGGTTTTTTGGTTTTTTTTTTGCAGTTTCTCTCAGTTCTGAAATTGAACGTTGACCTTGCGTTGAATTCGCTAAGACGTCCACTCCTGGGAACATTGTGCCATTGTGCTTCACAGACATGTTGAATTCTCCAGACCAGCAAACTGCCAAAAGATCTGCTTTTATACAGACGGTCACACTGGATCAATTAATCAAGTGCATTTAGTTATCACTTAGCCTCTTTATTCCTATGGAAATAGTAAGGTCATACTCGCATCCTTTGAAAGCTTTCTTTTTTACATATCACTATGTGGAATTTTATTCTTCTAAATGTTGCTTCACTAAAAGATAAAGGGCAAAGACTACGTTCACAACTACTTAGCAATTACTTAGGTATAAGCCACAACAGTAGATGGACACGAGCCATTACACAGGAACAGAAAAGTAATTTAGAGTAAATTGATTTTAGGACAGAGAAGGTCAGTGTGTTGTTGCACAGGAAAAAATGGGGAACTTTTGCTTTGTAGAGGCTTCATTGACAATCAGAGAATCTTTAATTTGATGGATACTGAACATTTGAGAGGCACCGTGACATTATCATTTATGAATAACTTTATAATAATAGTATTTAATCCCATTTTAAAGATGACATTTTTTTCTTTGTATAAAACATGTTGAATTAACATACTTTTATTTGAATATTCATAGATTTTGTAAGCACTTTAAACCCCTGCTTTCAAAAAAAGAGCTGAGCGATTCTGCATAGACAAAAAATAAGAGCTTTATGTGAGCTTGAATTTTAAAGAGTGAAAATGTTGTAAAGGAATGTGAAAATACTTCGATTGGAGCTCGCACTGAATGTTATTGGTTCACTGAATAGGTCTTATTATCAGTAATCAGCCCCATAGCTATGGGTCAGAATGGCCCACTGGAGTAATAAAGTGTGTGCAATCTGATTTTTTTTTTTTTTTACACAAACACATTCAATTATACAGATTAGAAGAATCGTGATCTCTGGAATTTGCTATGATTTTGTGCTTTGCAGTCTGGTGGTTTGGTTTATATTAGTGAAAATTCAAGTTCTTTGAATTTTTTTCTGCACATTTTGACTTCTTGTTATGACTTTATTATTTCTGTGATTCGTTTCTTTTTTTGTGTTATTGTTGGTTTCTATCTTGGCTTTATTATTCCCACCACTTCAGTCCACGCAGTTCCTCTGGATCATGTAATGTCTTTCTTGTTTTTGTATTTAGTATTTGTCCTTCATTCATATTTATTTTGCTCCCCTGCTTTGCTCTCCGGTTTTCATGCGTTCCTTACATATTTTATTTTTATTTTTATATTTCACTGACTCTTTTGTATTTTTCTTTGGACGTTTTACTGCCATATAAATTAGGCCACTTTCTGATCCTTTCTGATTTGCCCAGGTCTACCTAGCAGGAACATCTTACAGTTATATGTTGTTTTTCTCCCTCGTTGAAAATAAAAACATATTACACTTAAAAAAAATGCCAACAAGATCATTGAAATGTCATAAAATTCTGTTTGCATGTCAGGTCAACTTTCATATTTAGACTTGAGGTAAAGGAAGAAGATAAACTTCTTGAAACTTGTTGGTTATTTTAGGTTTGACACACTTTTCTCATGTTTAAATTAAAACTCTTTGCAAATTTCATTTTAACAAAAATCTGAGGGCCATAGAAAAATGTTTATCTTGTGTTTTTGTGTGGAAATGTGATACAAAAAAACAGTTTTTAATTCTAAAGCGAATTCTAAACAATGAAACAAATTAATTATGAAAAAAAGTGATTTCAAATGTCAAATGTAGGAGATAAAAAAATCAGATAGATCTCTCGGAAGTCTATTAGGCAATAAACACATTCAAATAAAGCAAAAACATTTAAAAAGTAAAAGAGTAAAATTATAATTTTGCTCATAAGAATCAGACTGAAAGACCTTAAAGGAGTTGAGTGCTGCTCAATAAGTGTGTGTCATTTTTGCTGCCCCCTAGCGGACAAAAAATATAAATACTGCAGCCATAAGTACTGTGAGCACAGAATACACACACACACACACACACACACACACACACACACACACACACGCAGACACACACACTTTTAGCCACACAAAATACTTGAATACAGGACACGGACAATAGCACAGGTACTAAGGTCACATAATAAGCTTCAGTGGGTTTTGTCATTAGCAGAAATATGTTCAGTATGTGATTACTTGCTGAAGCTCCAAGGGAGTTGTTTGAGAGAGCTCAATTTAATTATTTTTATGTGATTGTTATAACATCAAAAACAGCTCTGAGGAGTCAAGGTGTATTAACAACTCATATTTACTAAATATTTCAATTAAATTTGAAAGAAACCTTTGATAAAATGTTTTTAAAAAAAGCCTACGCTCAGACAAATGTCAGCCAAGATGTCCTCATAAAGGCACAGAACATTTTTTTTCATGAAAAAAAAATAAAATCAAATCAAATAGGCAGCTGGGGTGCAGCGCTCTGAAGAGTTGTTTTGTAAAGCACGGTCCTGCAGAAGCAGACGTCCCCGCGTCGTTGTTGTGTGCGCATCTCTGAGGAGTGCAATCTGTTTACAAACCTCTTCGAACTTTTTCATTTTCTTTATTAAATGACATTTCCTTAAATGCATAAAGAGCCAAAAAGAAATGAAGTTATACACTAGCAATGATTAGCATTCAAGCAACAGAGCAATCAGAGCCTGAAATTGCACTGAAATTACAGAAGCTGTGAAAGTTGATGAAAAAAAACAGCAAAGCCGGGACGAGATGAATCTAAAAATATAATGCCATTATTTTAGCCCTTTCACGCAAATCATCCTTTTAAACAGTCAAACGCAATTCACCAGACGGAGGAGATATACGCCAGGCTGCCAGAGTAAATAAACTATCTGAACATTTACATTTCCTCTGAGAAGAAAATCCACCTCTACAACACGAAGTGGAGCAAACAGCTGTCATTTTAGAAGATTTCCCCATACTTTCAACATTTTTAATATAGTTATTGAGAAGGAATTCGAAGTAAAAAATTGAAAATTGATAAAGAAGCTGCTGTCATCACAGAAAATAAGGATTCAAACAGCTACAGCGCAACAAAAGAACTAAAAGCTATGGCTTACATATTGTCATATGTAAGAAAACAGACTAATCCAATAAATTTGAAACCTCAGATAAGCAGCATCTTGGGTCCAGTCTGACTTTCCCACAGAAAATAACAGAACACTGAGAGATGCATTTAAGGCAGTGCTTGTTGTCTTAAGCGCGGCGATGCTGCCGTTCAAAGAGGCTCCTCTGTGTCTGTATCCTGCTTCTGCTTCAGCCTGTTTGATGAGACACATAAAAGCCAATAGGAAATGCCCTTTAGAAAAACATAATGTCTTAAATCACAATCACATGGCAGGACAAAGTCACATGGTATACACATATTACTGCTCAGTGAGTGGGAAACTTGCAATGTCCTATCTCGTATTGCTAGAAGAGTTTAAATAAAATTCAAAATCCAAACTCCGTTTCAAATCTCATCTATAATTTATAATCTACAGGCCAAAGCTGAGTTTATATAGGTGGTGTTGAGCCAGTCATCACAGACCAGAAACCAGGCTTGAACAGCTTTTGTATCAATTTTGGAAAAAGAAGCATTTCCCTAACTGGAGTTGGAGCGCTGCACTTAATACTCACGTATCTTGAAAAACTACATGCTGCATAGTTCTTTCCTTTTTTAGGGACATGTGATCTTCAATCTGTTCAATGTTAAAATTATTCAGACTGTTTCTGGATCAGTTATTTAATAAACCTGGAATATAGGATTTCATTTTTCCTACTTCATAGTCTGCAATTCTGAAATTCAGTTTCATCAAATTATGCAAAATAATTTACAGTTCATCAATAAACTGTAAGGAGGAAAACGTAGTGAAAGGGTATTTGCCATTTGCCAAGCCTCAGAATATATAGAGCCAAATGCATCAAAACTTTACCTGCAAATTGTGAAATTAATTCATTTAATTACAGAACTACAAAGAAGCAGGAATGTTAAGGAATGAAAGGGAAAAATTCAATTAATTGGTGGTAAAAAAAAAAAATAGTTAAAAGAAAACTATGATGCACATAATTAATAATTTCTCTCTTTTTACATTTTTTTAATTCACCCAATAATCTGCTTTGCAGCCAAGAACTGGACTTCCTTTTTTCTTTCTTTCTTTAAAATGTCTTCGCATCAGTTCAAAAATAAGCAGTGTACACTTTATTAACTGAATGTTTTAACAAAAAACAAAACAAAAGGTTGAGGCATATCCTTGAACAAATCGTATGGTGCCTCTTCCGAATTTAACTGGTGATCGAAGCATAACACAAACATCCGGGACTGCATTTTTAAAACAGCCTTCAGCAAAACAAAATCCTTCAAATTTTTTTGCCTTTATTTGAACCAAAAAAAAAAAATCCATCAACCTGCTCAAATTGAGCCTCTGCAGCTTGTCCTTTAATGCGAAATATGCAGCTGGATGTGATTTTTGTTTCAGTTTGTAGGTAGGTAGGTAGGTAGGTAGGTAGGTAGGTAGGTAGGTAGGTAGGTAGGTAGGTAGATAGATAGATAGATAGATAGATAGATAGATAGATAGATAGATAGATAGATAGATAGACAGATAGACAGATGAAAGTGCTGCACGGAAAGTCCTCACACTTGATATATACCATCTGCTCTCCATCACTTGAATGATTAAAAAAACACACAAAGCTTAGCTTTTCCTGTATGAATGAGATTTTAGTTTCCTTAATTATTCAAGGCAAATTTCAGTGTTAAAAGCAAATCAGATTAGCGCAATACAGCAAGGAGGTGCTGGCTTGGTGCTGGACTATGTGGGGTTTGGCTGCATAAGCATGCCTCTTCCTCTACTGTGGAAGCAGAAGATGACCACATATCCATCAGCCCTGACACAAATTTTTAAATCTAGCTCTCCAAACCTCTTTGTTCACGTCTGGCCTTTCTGGCGGGCTGATCAAAATGCCATTATTTATTTAATCTCTCCTCTCTCTTCTGTGTTCCTGCATGGCTCATAAGTTGATGTACAATTCATCAAATGCAGTCGACTATGATGAAAAACATAAAAGAAGACCATTAGCTTTACTGATGTGTACAGTGTTAGAAGAACAGGTTTGTCCTCAGTCGAACTTTGAACTATACGCAACAATATAAACTCACAAGCAGAAACAATTTTTTTGTCCTGAACAGCTTTATGGAGAGATTGCTCTTCATTATTAAAAACACTGACCGTAAACCAGCAGCATGAACCTCAGCAGCTGGTTCAGCAGGTCCTCAGTGATAGCTGTCTGTCATTAGGTTTCTGTTTTGCATGACTTCATAGTCTTACAAAGAGAGACTTGTACAAATAGTTACATTTCTCCTTGACTTTAATTGAATAATCTTTTTAGCCACATAGCCACAAATGAATTCATTTATCACACAGAGTACCTTCACATGCCCTCTTTGTAGTGAGGGTGGTCTACTGACAACTCTATACACTTCTAGTTTGAGCTAAATAATTATAATTATTATTACTATCATCCTCGCCCTATGGCAGCTATGGCAGCTGTTACAGGAACATTGTTTGCAAGGGTTGCATCTGACTAAATAATGTCTCTTAGGTAGATGAGACCAAAATAATATACAGTTCCATAAATCAAACACAGCATATGAGCACAAACACCTCACAGCAGCTGTCATGTATGGAGGTGGAGGGGTGATGATGGGGGCTTGTTTTGCAGTCACTGAACCTGGGCACCTTTACTCCTCTTTAAAGACACACACACACACACACACACA